ACATGTCCATTTGTGACTGTGATATGATCATACAGAGCTTGCAGGTGCAATTCTTTACTGGGTGAATATAACCATTTTCTGCCAATCTTTTAAAACAATGTAGGTACCACTTTGTGTTCTCAAATAAAAAAAATTATGAGAAAAACGGTTAAACAAATCACGACACTAAATGAAGTAACGTTGTCTTCATCAAAAGTTGTATAAGAGTTTTTCCTTGTTTACTCCTTCAGTTAGAGAAATCACTCAAAGCGATGACAAAAAGGATGGAGGCACTTTAAGGTAAGCTCACTTTTAAACTGTTTTTCCACGGTGTATGTTTCTCAAAAGGTTACCTTTAAGAAATCTGTTTTAACAGGGACGACGCATGTGATCAGCACTAGCCTGAGTGTCAGGAGACTCAACGTCTGTTCCTGGCTCTATCACTGACACAAAGCCGGGGAAATACACTCACACTCCCGGGCCCAATTTCTCCCAACACTGAACAAGAAAAACAGAAAACTTTCCCTGTACTGCTGTCCTATAATGCCATAATAAAGCAATTCATCAGCATAGTTCCAGACATCAGATTAATGGGGCGAGAAGAGCTCAGAACCTGGGAGGAGTGAGCGAAAACGTGTGGTTGTGTAGCTGCCGAGTGCCGCGAAGCAGGCGGTGCTGGCTTTTACAACCAGGATGGTAAATTAGAAAGACCACATTCGGAGAAACGTCCGAGTTTGTCTTCTAGAGTGTTTATCCGTCAGTGTCGTACGTAACTTTCCTCTCGGTCCCCTTTCCCCGTTTGTCAGTGCGGGGACGGCTGCCGTCCTGAGGGGGAGGCGGTGAGCACGAGCTAGTCAAGAAGAGCGTTTCCGGGAACCGCAGCAGCTACTGTTCGCCGCCAGGCACGGAGCCACTACGTGACTGACCCTGCGCGCAACCTCACGAGGCAGGTATCAGGACACCCCTGTTTCACACGTAAGGAAATCCAGTCTCACCTGCGTTCTCTCTCGAGGAACAGTCACTCTGCGCCCAGTGCCTGCCGGCACCACAGCGCCCCCTCGACCGACCACGCGCGGACTCCGCGCCCCGCGTTCCCGCGCCGGCCCCGGCCCCCCAGACACCCCTGCCGCAAACTGCGCGACACCCCGGACCCTCCCGACGCGCCCGCTGCTCTCAATCCCGGCGGGACCTGAGCGGTGGGTGCGCCTGGGAGCTCCGGGACGGTCTCCCACGCCGAGCCCAGGACGCTGCCCAGGGAGACTGCACATGCGCAGAAGGCGCCGCTGCGGCCCCGCCCCCAGACCCTGCGCCGAGAGCCTGCGGACTTCCGTACCTGTGGTGTCAGAAAGCAAGGAGTGCTGTAATACCATGATAAGCGTATATTAAAAGGATCCAAAAGCTAACTATGGTAGCTCTCGATGCCCCAGACTGAAACAATTTGAGCAAAGTAATAACCTAATAGCCCTGGATGAAATGAAAAGGGTAGGGGGAAAGGAGCTGACCTAATCAAAGGAGCAACAACGTGGATGAATCTTAAATGAATTCTGGTAAGTGAAAGAAGACAAGTCCAGAAGCTGCACATTATATAGTTCCATTTATTTGACATTCTGAAAAAGTTAAATGTATAAGACAGAATAGATCAGTGGGTACCAGGGGCTGGGGGAGAAAAAAGGGGCTGTCTAACAATGGTTAAGAACAAAATAAATGGCCACATGTCCATACTGGATATAAATAAATGATTGAATACATGTGGAAAATAAAATTTGTTCCTTACAGAAGAATCCCACTTAATAAATATAGAAGGAACCAAGTAAAACAGGAAATCACCATTTAGAACACCACAGTAATAATTGTTGTAGGTAAGATCCACCAAAGAAGGCTAAAATTAGTGGAAAAATAAAAACAGGACTGTCCCTTACTGGTTTACAAATTGATATCACCAAGAAAACTTTCCTTTCTACTATTTAGCCACCCTGGTGGTCTTTTGGACATTATAAAATAATATGCCCATATGATCATAGTGCGCTAACAATGTCAGGAAGACATACGCAGAAGAATTTATGTTTGCTTTTGGGTAAAGTATGGTTGGTTCCAGGAGATGAGAGTGTGCTTTAAGTTTGGTATATAAATAGCTTTTTAACATATAAACAATTTTCTTTTATTATCATTTAGCTGTGAATTGCTAGCTTATCTTTTTCCTTATTCCATGCTGGTCACAGATGTTATTTTAGTTTACATCACTTTATTTTTTGTATTTCAGATAATAGTTTGCATCTAAAAGTCACAGTGGTTTGATCACAACCTCTGGGTCATCGCCAGAATGCTGGTTCCAGGCAGGAGTAACTGAGATAACAACTGTTAGGTCCAGAGCAGAGAGAGAGACACAGGAAGCCTCACGTGTAGCAAAATGCTGTTTATTTGAGCATCTGGGTGCAGACGGGTGGAGGCCAAAAAGAGCGGCCACTAGAGAAAAGGAGAGAGCGGCAGGTTATATAGGTTTGGATGGAAGTTTGGGGAGGGTGAATTTTTTTGTTCTGAGCATTAAGCGGTTTGCAACCGCCTGCGGTCAGAGTTAGATTTACAACCTCCGGACTCTCCAGACCCCTGCGGCTGTTGTTTCACAGGCTTTATGATCACTAAGTTTTCCATTGACCGCGTTCCGTCCTATACATTCTTTCCGGGTTCCCACCCAAAGCATACCTAGTGGTAACCTCCCAACCCACTGCGCAAGGCTGATTTCTAGAAGACTGAGCATGGTGTATGTTAGGTTTGTTCCAGGTGGGAACTCTAAAAGTATGTATGGGACAAAATGCGGTTAATGGAAAACGGAGGTTTGTGAAACAATAGCCACAGGAGTCTGGAGAGTCCCTGGAGGTTATAATCCTAACAAACAGCTAGCGCCAACATTCCCATCCCCCCTGACGAGGACCGAACTACTCACCTCCCTGATCTCTCTACGGGATAAGACTGACCCAGGGGTCCCAGAAATTGGTTATTAAAAAAAAATTTTATTACAGCGATTATTCTGCCCCAGGTACTCACTCCCCGCTGAAAAACTCTCTATAAAACCCAAAGCTCTCCCCTTTTCTCTAGTGGATACTCTTTGGCCTCCACCCATCTACACCCAGATGCCCAAAATAAACAGCATTTTACTACACGTGATACTTCGTGTCTGTCTCTCTGCTCCGGACCCAACAGTGTACTCTGGGAAGGGGACTCTCCAGAAATACACTGAACAATTTATGTGCCGGCTGCTGTTTGGAGTGTTTACAACGTAAACGCCTTTAATACTCATCACAGCCCTGCCACCTAGGCACTACCGCTAGCCCCGGGGCACCACTGAAGAGTGTGGTTAGAGCAGGCCGGTACCGCCCCAAGACCTGCAGCCACGCTCCCGCTGCGCATGCGCAGCCGCCTCCCCCCCCCCCCCCCAGCCACGGCCTTCCGCGGCAGAATCCCTGGCCTCCGGGTCCGCGAGGCGAGGGGACGCGGGCAGGCGCCGGAGCGCGGGGCGAGGCCGAGGCGGACTCGCGCGGCCCGGGGTGCGGGCGGCCGAGGCACCCGGTGGGGCGTGACCCCGGCGTCCGCGGAGTTGAAGGGGCGGCGGGGCGGGGGCGTCTCAGTCAGAAGACGCGCGAGTCCAGCGTGGGAACACGAACGCCCGCCCGGCTTGCCGGCCCCGCTCGCGTCCAGCCCCGAGGCCTGGCGGGCGGCGCCGCGGCGTGGGCACGTGTAGCGAGTGCGCGTGCGCGCCGCGAGCGCGGGCCCCGGGGGAAGGAGCGGCGCTGCGGGGCAGGGTGGCGACGCGCGCGTGCATAGCGTGTGTGGCGTGTGCGCGACGTGCGCGTGCGCATGGCGTTGTGGCGTGTGCGCTTTTTGTGCGCTGGGCCCCGGGGGGAGGGGGCGGGGCTGCCGCGAGAGCCTCTGCCCCAGGTCCACTGTGAATGAATTAATGAGACAAAATAGCGGCCGTGAGACGTGCGTTGCCTCTGTGTAAAATATGGACGTCGGGAATCCTTGCCGCCTTGCGCTGCTTTGAGCACCTCCGTGCTTTGAGCTACTCCGGTGTTTATCTGGTGTGTGCAGTGCGCGGAGCCCTGGGTGGGCCCGGAAGACCGCCCTTGCCGCCGGCGCTTGGACCAGTCCCCGGGGCCTCGGTGTTCGCGCGGCGGGAGAGGGAAGGCGCTGGCCTACGTCGCCACCCAGCTCCTTTCCTGGCTCCAAAGTTAGCATTTGTTACTACATGTAATCATGACACAGGATCCTGAAGCCATCGAAGTCTGTGTGCTGGTGGACGGTCTGGGACAAGTTTAAGAAGAGAGGTGAGCGGAGCGGAGCGGGGTGGGCACGCAGGCTGCACGGGAAGTGTCACCTGTTGGGAGAGTGTGCGGGCGTGGTGGCTGAAAGGCTCACCGGCGACGGCTGAGGAAATGCTGTCATCAGCCGTCCCTCAGATGCCCCACACCGTTCACGCCTCCTTCACTTTTCACCGAGGCGAGCTGCTGTCAGTGGCCATGGAGAAGATGCTGAGGTTCCTGCTCTCCTGGCCTTGTGGACCCACAGGATGGTAGTGCGGGCAGGTCCTCTTCGGATTGTCTGTTTTGACATTGTTTGGAGGATGGAGGGAAAAAAAGTCTGAGAAGGTGGCTGGTTCAGGTCACGTAATTTGTTAGTGGCAGAACCAAGATTAGAGGTCAGATGTGCAGATTCATGGGCCACTGCTGTCCATTTTGTCACTCTTTGATCAAAGTTTCTCATTAAAAGATCCTTTTTGAGAAATTGTAAGCAAGTTAGAACAAACTTTTTAAAAATTTTATCTTGTCTTAAACACCGCCATCCCTTTTTCCAGAGGTTTCTTGGGTTATTGAACCTCAAGGGATCAAGGGTTTTAGCGGGTAAATAGGTAAACAGTATGGCCTGAGGGTTTTTCCTACAGCAAATTTTGACAAGTCCGTAGTGTTTCCTCTTTTAGATTATTGTCATTTGTTAAACTCATCTTGTTTTTAATTTTTCTGTGTCACAGAACCTAAATTGGTAATAAATCAATAAGAAACAAATGTTTACATTCACTCAGTGAAAAGTGTCATGTCTAAGCTCAACATATATCGGAGCCACACGTGGACACGTAAGTATCTTGTGTGTGGAGCTGTATAGGCAGGTGAATCCAGGAACTGCAAGGCAGGCCAAGTCTCTCCTGACATTCTTCCTTCCTTCTCCCTCAGCTCTCCTTCCTCCACTAAGAGCAGAAAATGAACAAATCCCAGGTGAGTTTTTTGTTTATTCCCACTTTGTTTTAAATGGATTTTCTGAATTTTACAAGATTTATATTGTTTAAAATGGAAAAATAGAAACAGGCAAAAATTTACATTAAGGGAAATAAACCTAGAGTAGCAGATCAAAAGTGAGGCATCTGGCAAATTAGATGCAGGATTTTTAATTTTACAGAAATATCCAAGTCATTCAGAGTTTTCTCTGATTTTTCTAGTAACACCCTTGAAGTAAATGCAATAAGTTGTCTATAATCATTTCTTGGTAGAAACAAAAAGCACAGTGCCCGAGAACTCGGTATGTATACTTTTCAGGGGACCAAACGTTGAGGTTTGAGAGGCAAGTTCTCTGATGGCCCTGCTTGATCTGGGAATAAAACCTTGAAGATGTGGAGAAATGGAGGGACTGCCTGTCCTCGGAGCAACTCTCCCTAAGTGTTTGTGTCAGCTCGTTTGTATTTCCAGGTTGAGTCACAGACAGTTCTGGCTTATGTTTCTGCATCTCATTTACATCTCAACCTGATGAATGCAGGCTTGGTCCCTCACCACCACTCATGGGGATCAGTTCTGGAAAAGGCCACTACACTGTAGTCAAGGCCAGTGGATGTTTTGTCTTTCTGTTACTCAACTGTTCGGCAGCTTTTGATTTTATTAACCACGGTATCTGTTTTGAAAGTCTCCTCTATTGGTGTCTGAGATGCCAGCCCGCAGAGCAGTCCTTTCCTAGCCTTGATTTCCTCTCTAGCTCTCAAGGAGGTGTCTTTTCCTTTTGCCCCCCAGACACTGCTTATCCCTGGGTTTCCATCCTTAGCCTGCTGCTCTTCTCAGTCTGGATTTCCTGACTAGTTTCGTGTGTTTTTGTTTTTTTCTCAATGAACTGCTTTTCAATTGGTAATATGTTAACATGTTTAAAGAAGTGATACAAAAGATCTAAGTAAAAATTTGCACCCCTGTCCTCTGTTCCTGTTGCTCCTCCTCTAGATAGGGTGACATTTATTTATGATCCAAACTGAGACATTTTCACTAAGTGAAAGAGGTTCCATAAATAATCGTGCTGGGACAAGTGGCATATATTGGGAGAGTTCCAAACAAAGTGGAATGGTCACCCTACTTACTACAGATACCTATTTTTTTCTAGTTTCTTGTTTGTCTTCCTGGTGTTTCTTTATCCAGGCAAAAGAACATATGTATGTTTATTCTTGCTGGCCCCTGCCCTTTACTTAAAAGTGAAACCATTATCCTTAGGGCTTCTCAACTTAGGTGCACCTTGGCATCTTGTTAACATGCAGATTCTGATTTAGTAAGTCTGGATAGGGCCCTCAATTCCGAATGTCTGATAAAAGTCCCGGCTGAGGCCTCTTCTGCAGCTCAGGGGACCATCCTTGGAGTAGCAAGCTTACACGCTATTTTCCATTCTTCCTTTTTCATTTAGCAGCATGTTCCAGAGATTTCTGTGACAGAACATGGATTTCCTCTTCTCTCTTTTGTCACAACTGCATGGTAGTTTAAGCGTGGATGTCCATAGTTTATTCAACTACTTCTAACCTTTTGCTCTTACAAAGCATGTTGTAATGAATAAGCTTGTAAATTTATAATTTAGTATGTATAGGTTTATATATTTGAATTCCCAGAACTTGATCAGCATAGTGGTACTGCCTGTCCTAGTGTCATTTTGTTTTCCCTCTGGCAATGTGTGAGAGTGCTTGTTTCTCCACAGCTTCTCCTATAGAATATGTGGTTCAACTTTTGGATTTTGGGCAACTGATAGGTAAAAAGTGGTATTTCCTAAAATTTGCATCTGCAGTTTTCCGCACTAAGAGTGAGGTCGGATATCTTTTCATGTGTCTAAGGGTGACTTATATTTATTTTTCTTTGAACTGTTAATATCTTTTGCCCATTTTTCTCTTAGGTTTCTGGTCTTTTCCCCCCAGTGTCTGGTTACCTCTGTGTATATTAGCGATAACACTGCTTGTTTATTATGTGAGCTACAAACCATTATTTTCTGATATGTTGTTTGTCTTTTGATAATTGCTCATGGTGCTTTTTTCCCCCCTGCAAAAATATTTGATTGTTTTTGTTGTCTAGTTTATCAATATTTTTTTATGACTTTGGACTTATTTTATAATAGCATTTGGAGGCATAGTTTGAAAGTCCTTCCTACTTCATGATTATAAGGAATCTGCCCGTGTATTCTAGTACTTTTATAGATTTTAATTTTTAATCCATTTGGTCTTTACCTTGCTATGCAAGAACTTAACAATTAAATTATCACAATATCATTCTATTTACCACCTCCTACCCTGTGTGTTGATATATTTTTTTCTCCTCCCTGTGTTCTAAACTCACAAGACATCTTTAGTATTGTGGCTTTAGACAGTTGGTAGGCTTTTATATTTATCGAAATATTTGCCTTTTCCTGTGCCCTCACTCCTTGCAGTTTCATGCTTCATCTCTAACCTGCAGTATAGACTGGGTACTCTGACAGTACTTCACCAAACTATAAAATCATTTGAAAACATCCAAAAATGTAAATTCCAAGTAGAAACAGTATACAAATTTGTGTTCTTTTATTT